TCTATTCCTATAGTGATTGCTATAAATAATAAGTTCATACTTATAATTGTACTTATAATCGTAAGAAATATCTTACACCAGAATATTTTGATCATTTTAATACGTTTACATTGGATGGGATTCTTTTTGAATAAATCGAAAATACTTAAACTTAACTTATTAATAACAACAGGGAATGCTTACTGTTCGGAATGTAAATTTAGGAAAACTTTGTTACGGATATCAACATATCAACTTGTTCTCTTTATATGAAATTTAAAAGATATTCTTCTGGTACACTTTCTTTAATTGAAATCATGTGTCAATTAAAGCTAGACAATTATGGAAAACCTGGAAGCATTAGACGGCCGTTTTGTCCTATTGTGGGACTCCTCAGTAGTGCACATCCACGACCCCACCTCGCGAGATTCGAAACCAGGACCTATCAGCCTCACCCGAGCGCTTAACCACTAAGACCACTGAGCCGGCATCTAACGATGTTAATGTCTGAATTCAAATAATCCGCGAAATTGCTCCATCGCCCACCATGCTGGTCTAGCTTTAATTGGCTCATGATTTCAACTATTGAAATGACTAAAATCTCCACAAAACCCCTTCTGATAATAATCATCTGCTCACTGGTGACTGACTTCAAGAGGCATTTCCTGAAGTTCTAGTAAGAAACCTGTGTCTATTGGAGTTCAACTAGGTTTATTGTGAGATATCAGCTCACTGATGACAATGGTGTAAGGTGACGCAATTTCGTGGATTCGTTGAAGTTAGACATTAACATTTTTATTTATCTGATTTATCTTGTTTACTTGTAAAACTTTTAGTTTCTCTTTACACAACATTATCAGTACAAAGTTCATCTAGAAGTCATTTGTTCAAATCTAACTGGATATAATCTAGTTTAACTGAAAAGTATTACTTAGCTCTCATTTAAACACTATGGCTAAATAAAGAGTACATAAATCTATACATAGTAGCTAGAATATTCAACCTAAATAGAGGTATTGTAAAGTTACAAAAACAGGGGAGAAACAGGTTAATGACTTAGTAACAATACATGTAATCGAGATAACAAATGAATAAGTCTGTAAATAAATTCTTGCCGAATTTGGATTACATTTTCTGAGGTCTTTAAAACCGATAAATGTGAACATGTCATTAAGAATATGATGATGAAGATCATATTATCATATTACCGCTGGGATCTGGTTTGTTCTTTCCCACAATAAGTTGTTCCTGATAGTGTCTGACCATAGAATCTGAAGTATTTTGTATAGAAAACTGTTAATAAACACCTGTATCTTCTGGATGATGGCTTTCGTAGTTCTCCAAGTTTCCACCACATACAGTAGAACTGTCTTGATATTTGTTTTGAAAATTCTGACTTTGGTATTGGTTGTCAGTTGTTTTGAGTTCCAGATGTTCTTCAGTTGTGGATAGACTGCTCTTACTTTACCGATTCGCGCCTTCACATTTACATCATCAATGATGCTGCCCAGATATGTGAAGGTTTTCGCATCTTTCAAAGCTTCTCGGTCTATTGTGACTGGATTGTTGCATGCTGTGTTGTATTGGAGAATCTTGCTTTTCCGTTTATGTATGTTGAGACCTACTGCTGGTAAGGCTGTTTCTTCACTGGTCGTCTTCCCCTACATTTGTTACTGAGTGTGCGATAGAAGACCCAGATCATCTGCGAAGTCCAGCGATCGTCAAGCTGCATCTTATCTATTCACTGTATCCCATGTTCTCCATTATATGTTGATGTCTTCATAATCCAGTCGATCACCAAGAGAAAGTCTCATCAAACTTTTCTCTTTCATTTCATGTATTAACATTTTAAATTCACAATTCCCTCCCCCCCCCCAAATTTTTTATTCACTAGCGGATATGATCTACTTTGTTTTTTCCTCTTTTTCGTTTTACAAAAAATATTTTGTTAACGCTTAACTGATTTTAATTTTTGTTAATCATTAAATTATTCAGCCATTAAGTTAGGCTTTTGTCTTTTTGGACAAAACAGATTGAATATCCTGTCAATCGTTTCTCATCATTGTGATAAACATTAGAAGAACAAAAGAAAATTCATGATGACACTTAAGTTGATGATGATGATGATGATGTCGGTTACGCTTTATTTTGTCAATTATTGAATGGTTATTATCAGAAAGGGGGTTTTGTGGAGATTTTAGTAATTTCAATAGTTGAATTCATGAGTCAGTTGAAACTAGACCACCATGGATTGATTGAAGTTAGAGATTAGCACCGTTAGATATCAACCGGCTCAGTGGTCTAGTGGTTAAGTGCGCGTGAGCGAGACTGATAGATCCTGGATTCGGATCTCGAGAGGAGGGATCGTGGGTGCTCACTATTGTGGAGTCCTAGAATAGGACGAAACGACCATGTAGTGCTTCCGGGTTTTCAATGGTGGTCTAACATCAGCCGGTTTAATTCAAAAACTTAATAATCTCTACAACCCTATAATGAGAATTTTCGATTACATTACACACTGTAAAGATCCTGATCAAGTATTACGTTAGATAATGTTATATTGTAGTGTCGGTTATTATGTTAAGCGCATATACTTTATTCTAGCTTTCGGACAGACCATTTCATTCATTCTACTCGAGTCACATTCTGACATTGTTATTTATTCGCTTATCAATCTTGACTGTTTTCATATGAACGCGTAGGTGTGTGTACACTTCTTATCCCATTACTCATTACATATCTGTAACTTAATTTTGTGTAACTATAAATATTGATCAACGCTTGGTTAAAGGGGAGTCGGCTTACCCGCCACATCCACTGCAGGTCGTTTTGCTTTATTCTGTCCCATTCACTTAATATAAAAAATATGTATTGACAAGTCCATTTTCGTTATTTGACTTATTTACTTCCGTTATCGACTAACGTGATTTAAGTCGATGATTATATACGAGAATAGGTGATATATATATATATATATATATATATATATATATATATATATATATATATATATATATATATATATATATATATATATATATTCCAACAACAATCATCATTACGATCTCAATGGAGTCAGATCTTGGGCTACTAAAGTGGGGAGCCCTTTCGACAACATCGTCCGATCTAAATGACGATTAAATAACGGGCCTCCATAAAAATATAAGTGAACTTTTTAAAGTCAACTCATGATCTTAGGGTTATTTAATTCTTATGAATTTTAAAATGGATCCATTAAGTTCATGTGAATTTCTACTTGTTATTGATAGAAAACAACCATAATGAAGGTTCTAATTTGATTTTGACTGAATATAAATGTTTATTCGTTTCAACCTCTAGTTTACTGTGTGTAGTACTTCTTATTATTCTTATACTATTCTCATATGAGCTATTTTAGAGCTGTTCCTTTAGTGCCTGGTCCTACGTTGTTCCTTTAGTTAAACTTTGTTTAAATCATAGTCTGTTTTGCATTCATTCTATTCCGTTGAAGTAATGACCATCTTATAATCTTAACAATATTTGTTATAAACACATACTATTTAGATTTGTGCTGATTTCGGTTATTTATTTACTCTGAAGATGTAACTTACTTGAAGTCATAAAATGTCAGAAATACAATTTTTTCTACTCATTTGGATAAAATGAAAATGAATCATGTTTAGTTGAACCTTCATCGGATAATCTCTGTATACAATTACTTTCAGAATTGATAATGATCATACCTTTTATTATAAAGTTCTGCGAATTTTATGTCATTGTACTTTAGTAACTTGTAACTGTGCATCTATGAATGAACTTTGAAATGGCGATCATTCATTTTTGATTACTTAACGTAATAGTCAGATATGTTTACATTGAACTATTCAAATATCAATGGTTAAGATCATGAGTTAGAATCTACTGGTTTCGAATCTTGCAGTGGGCGAAGTAGTAGATGCGCACTGCTGAGGAGTCCCACAATTGGACGAAACGGCCATCCAGTGCTTTCAGGTTTTCCATGGTGGTCTAGCTTCAACTAACTCATGATCTTAACCATTGAAATTACTATGATATCCACAAAACCTGTCTGATATATCCAAATATACTATTACAAAGCGTACATATAAGTGTTGTATGTCCTGTCTCTCAACTGGATGCATATTTTCAACAATAATCTTTTCTGTGGTTACACAGCTCTACTGTGCACAGTTGTATCAATGTCAAAGTGAACTGTCAACTAATCGCATTGCTAACCAATGACACTATTCTGTTTTTGTGTAGAAAATCTTATATTCAAGAAGGTTTAAATTTTGCACGCAAATTATGAGTTGGATGCCATTAGGTTTTCATTCAGTCGTAGTACTTACATTTTATACAACTAAACTCTAAAGTATGTTAAAGTTAGGCTTCATAACCGGGAGAAGTTTTGTGGAAATTCGTTCTTGAGATATTTGGATGAAATAAATTTTTGTTATTAGATGGTTAACATTATATTTCCAGGTCTATTTGAAAGCACTTAGATAGAATACACTACAGTAGGTCGTCAAAATTTATCTGAGGTTAAATACTTGTCCATTTTCTACTTCACGTCGTTTTTTGTTATTGACCATGAATAATTAAGTGTGGTAAAAGTATGTTTACGGTTGAATTCACGAATCAATCTAAGCTTGACTACTACTGAAAACTTAGAAGCTCTGGATAGCCGTTTCTTCATTGTATGGGACTCCTCAGCAGTGCACATCCATGATCCTGTCCATGGGATTCGAAACCAGGACATTCGATCTCACGCGCGAACGCTTAAATTATAGATCACTGAGTTGACAATCAACGGTGTTAATGTTTTACTTCAAACGATCCATGATCTTGCTCAACAATTCATGTATTGTCTGAGGTGGATAACCATCTCACACTCGACACAGATTGGCATCATTCAAATAAAAATAGTTGAGATTTTTTCGAGTGTTTTTTCTTATACAAATATTCATTATGTAGATATTATGTTCAATTAATTAAATTTATCTTTTATTATTTTATATTGACAGAAATCTATTTCCAGAAAATGTAGTACAAGCATGTTTACAGCAACAACAAAGTAGTTACGTCACAGTTGTTAAGCGTCCAAAGTATATTCGATTAACGGATGGAAACAATGGTACATTGAATATGGAAAACGAAACAAAACTTATCAGCTATGAAGCTATAAAACCGAAATATGTGGATAGTACTAATGTTTTAGGTAAGAGAAACTTCATAACATTATACATGCCCTGCTACTTTTTATGGTTACTGTTCTGAATATATTTCATTTTGATACAAATATGTGTAACTTGTACAGGATACCAACGATCGTAGTTATAATTAAAGTATTGATTAAAACTGTCACAATACTTGACAGTGCTTAGTAAGGAAATCAATAAACAAAACATAATTACTTAATTACGCCTGTTACTCCTCGTCGAGGAGCATAGGTCGTTCATCAGCACTCTCTATCCAACCCCGTCTTGGGCAATCCTTTTCAGTTCTTTCCAGTTGTCATTCATCCTTTTCATATCTGCTTCTGTTTCCCGACCTAATGTGTTCTTTGGCCTTCCCCTCTTTCGCTTCCCTTCAGGATTCCAAGTTAGGGTTTGCCTCATGATGCAGTTTGGTAATTTGCGTAATGTATGTCCTATCCAATTCCGTCGTCTTTTCCTAATTTCCTTCTGAGATGGAAGCTGAATTTGATAAAGTACAGTTGATTAATGGAATTTTTTAATTGAGTGTTTTACTGACGAATTTCTACACAAACTGAATTCAACTACTATCTTATCATCTCAACTTATTCAGGAATTACTTATTGTATCTTCTAACTAAACAGATGGAGATAAAAAATGTTAGAGGGGAATGAGAAAAACAAACGAACATATCAAGAAGTAGCACACGTATATTTTTGATTGGGATCATGAACCGATTGACGTTAGGCCACCATTGAAAACCTGGAAGCACGACGACCGTTTCGTTCTATTGTGGAACTCTTCAGCAATGCACATCCACGGTCCTGCTCGCGGGATTTGAACCCAGTCTCGCGCGCGAACGCTTAACGTCTAGACCACTGAGCCGGCATCTAAAAGTGTTAATATCTAGCCTCAACCAATCCACGGGATTGCGCCACCATCTTCCATTGTACTGAGGTAGATACCTGTCTCTATCCTACACGGAATAGCTCCACTGATCACGGCTTCTCACTAGAACTCCGAGAACTTCGTCATAAAGCTAGTCATTATTGAGCACATGGTAATTATCAGTATAGGTTTGTGGAAATTGTTAAGTTTTTGATTGAGATCATGAGCCAATCGATGTTAGACCATCACATCAAGATGTAGCACACGTTTATTTTTATTTGAATACATAAAGTGTTTTATTGAAACTTTTCTTTCTTCACGCTAACTTCAACTGATGAACAAAATAACTTAATTTTATAAATATTGTAGAATTTAAACAATATAATGATCGTTTAGGTGGTTGGAAGTAGTCAACAGGAAACCCTTGACCTAAGTTTAATGCTAGTTACTGCTCATCGGTAAAGTGTACCTGGATTCTTGAGGGAACTTATGTTCTCCATGAGATTTAAACCTATATTGTCCAGCTTCACTATCTCAGCCTTAAACAGTGAACTATTCCAGCCATGATTAATCTGTTTTTAGACTACATATAAGCCAATTTGATGTGGGTAAATCAGGGAAAAAACCCAAGTACTGTCGGCCGCTTTCAACTAACATACATATCAACATCGCGCAGACGATGTCGAGTTCTTCAGATTGATAGTCACGTTGCAATTTTCGAGATGACATTCGGTCAGTATTGAGAAATAAATGAACACGATATTTATCATTACGCAGTAATCAGTTAGTTGCATATATATACGGCCGTTTCTTCTTAGTATTAAACTGTTCAGTAGTACACATACATGAACTCGCACACGGGATTCGAATCTAGGACCATAGGTCCAACATGAGAACGCTTAATCAATGAGCTGGCATCCAGTGCTTCCAGGTCTTCCAGGGTGATCTAACTTAAATCGACTCATAAATTCAACCATTAAAATAGTAATTATCCAAGTGAAGGTTAGATAACAGAATCAGAGTAATAATAGATTAGGATTTCAATCCCAATTATAGATTTATCATTATAGTAATGAATCAACAGTTGAACACATAGAGACTAGATTTTCCGGACAGTAACGTAAACGAGTTAGGTATTTCTGTCTGGTAACAATGTTGGTGACAAAACGATGATCGATTAGATCACACCTTTTAACCTTAAATATTCTTTTTTTGTGACGTGAACAGAAATAAAATGAATGTATATTATTCTACTTTAATTGTTGTTTTAGGTTAATTAGAATTCATAAAGACAGGGGTTAATGATAGAAAATGATTAAGAATGATGTATAAACAGAATAATAATAATAAAAATGAATGATTAAGGTAACAATTAAAAAAGAGATCAAAGAATAATAGAACTATTATATAAAAAAAATTTTATTGAATAAATGAGTTAAGAATATCAACACAATACCTAATTATTATTGTTTCTATTATTAGTACTCATTAAGGAATGGAAAATATTTTATTAATTATAAGCAAAGATAGATAGTGGCTAGTAGTGTAATCCAAGATGAGCGTTTCGTTCTATTTAGGGCTCTTCAGCTGGATGTACCTGCATTTCAGGGTTGATGTTCACTCTGGGACTCGAACCCAGTACCATTGGCTTCAAACGCCATCGCATTATCCACTTATTTACTGAGTCCTGATAGCCACTTGCTTATGCCAATGGAATGAAGTTTAAATTTACTTATAATGCTTGTGAATTAAGGCTATATCGAGGCAATGCGCACAGAATGCATATATGCCAGTAAGAGACTGATCAATCGCAGTCCTAAACAACTATGAAAAGATACAAGCAAACATTATCAAATGAATTATATTCATTAAGGTACTATCTCACAGCAGACCTGGTTGAACTCCACTGGTCACGGCTTCTGATTAAATCTTCAGGAAAAAGGTCTGGAAGTCAGTCTCGTGCACGAGCGCTTAACCACTAGATCACTGAGTCGGCCGACATTCAACAGTGTTAGTGTCTAACTTCAACCAATTCGTGAAATTGCGCTACCGACCACCATTGTCTTCAGTGAGCTAGTATCTTACAGCATACCTAGTTGAACTCTTTTGGTCACAGCTTTGAACTAGAACTTCAAGAAATACATCTTGAAGTCCATCACTAGTGAGCACATGAGCACCTGTGTTCGAATCCTGTGGACAGGAGCATGAATATGTACTGATGAAGAGTCCTACAATAGGAAAAAACATCTATCTAGTGTTTCCAGATTTTTCATGTTATTCTAGCTTCTAACAACTCATGATCTCAACTATTGAAATCACTTTATTATTATTCGTAATGATTAAGTTGTATAGATAAAATCTATCAATTCCATTATTCATTATCCGTCACTTTGTTTAATATAAAACTGAATCAAATTTCAGAAAACATATTAAACATTGGAAGAAACAAAATCCAGTCCCATGTTAACAATCACCATGTTTTTTTTGTTTATTATTCAAATTTCGTTACAAAAATATCCAACTAAGATTATTTCATTGGGGGGGGGAATTAAGAATAACGAAACAAAAAACAAAAAGAAACAAAAATCGATTACATTCACTGAGGTTATTTCATATCTGTGATCTACACGCACACACACACACACACGCACACAAAAAGATCAAATAACTAGATCGGTATCCATTTCATTATAACCAATAAATTAACCATGTTTTAATCCAATTTTTTTTCTGGGTTTTCTTATTTCTCATTATCCATTTACATGTTTTATTACATACTAACCATATTATTATTTAATAGTTGAATTTATGGATCAGTTGAAGCTAGACTACCATAGAAAAACTAGAAGCACTGAACGGCTGTTTCGTCATAGTATGGGACTCCTCAACTGTATGTATTCATGATCTTGCCCTCAGGATTCGAACACAGGTGCTCATGTGCTCACTAGTGATGGACTTCAAGATGTATTTCTTGAAGTTCTAGTTCAAAGCTGTGACTAGTCGAGTTCAACTAGGTCTGCTGTAAGATACTAGCTCACTGAAGACAATGGTGGACGGTAGCGCAATTTCACGAATTGGTTGAAGTTAGACACTAACACTGTTGGATGTCGACCGGCTCAGTGATCTAGTGCTTAAGCGCTCGTGCACGAAACTGATAGGTCCTTGTTTTAAATCTCACAAGGTAGGAGCATGGATGTGCACTGCTGAGGAGTCCCACAGTAGGACGAAACGACTGTCCAGTGCTTTCAGGTTTTCCATGGTGCTTTAGCTTTAATTGACTCATGAATTCAACTATTGAATTTCTAAAATCTCGACAAACCTCTCTTTTGATTATATTACTTTTCTGTTTCTTCGTATTGCTTTTTAAATTATTCTGGTATTAGTTGTATTTTCACAGTGATAATCATGTTTAAGGTTAGGATATTTGAATGTGATGAACAATAGACTGTAAGATTTCCATTTTGGAGCATATAATAGTATTCTGACTATTTCGAAACTAAAAGGTCTCGGATAAGAGTATTTAAAAGATTCTTAAATGAATGATAATGAAGTTGATATCATTTTGTAAATAAGATTGTATTCAATGAAAAATCATAATTGTAGATCTCGTCAATAACTTTTTTGAACGTTGTACTGATAGTATAATAATTAATTGATTGAAAATTGTTGTTGATTAGATACTAGTTAGTATACTTTGGTTTTTGGAATGCATCTGTCAGCTGTTCACTATACACAACTATGCATTGTAGTCTGTCGTATGAATTCCGGATAATGTTGACGATCTTCACAGGTACATCGTAGTGTCGAAGAAGTTTCCAATAATGTTCTCCTATCCACACTGTCAAACGCCCTCTCATAGTTAATGAAGTTGATGTATAATGACGAGCTCTACTCAACTGCTAACAGATGAATTCCAAGTAAAGACCGGAGTTAAGCAAGACTGTTTACTCTCCCCTTCCTCTTTTTATCTGATGATCGACTGGATTATAAAGACCTCGACATCTGAGGGAAAGCATGAAATGCAATGGACAGCTCGCAACCAATTAGAACATTTGGAATTCGCAGATGACCTGCCTCTTCTATCCTATACACACGAAGACAACTTTTGTAGCAGCAGCCTCTTCATCAGTAGGCATCAACATACACATAGGAAAAAGCAAAATCCTCAAATAAAACACGGAGAACACTAACCATCTGCATCGAACAATCGGATCAACTATGCTGATCTATAGGGTTTGAACAAAAGTTAGGTTAAATGATATAGATGTGAAAAAGAAGTACGAGTTGATTAACTGATTACTAAAAAAGAAATTATGTCCTACCGCCTTATTACGAAATATGGCTAGATTCTGTGGATTATTGTTATTATTAATGGCTTCATTCATTATTATATTTTGGTACAATATAGAATTCTCAGTACAAGGCATTTCTGGGAATTTCTTTTACAAAAAAGGAGAAAAGAATGAAAAAGGATTTGAATCTGTACAACATTTCAATTAGAAATATGTTTAATAATGTAGGTTATTGATAAGATCAACTTTAACCACTTGCTCATCACAGGGTAAATTTGCTAGATAAGGTATTATGGAACTTTTATATCTTTGCTTGCGTACATGGGTTTTAATGTATTGACGTCTCGTTCTACCAGAAGATATACAAGGAGGAGAATATCAGTGAAGGAGGATGGTTAGTATCTGATAAGATAATACCTCACTGGAATATGGAAGACTTGAAATGTCTAGCCACCACCATACTAATAATGGCCTTAAAAGATTCACTACATACCCTGATAACTGCGTTCAGAACTCTCCACAATACAGTGGTCTTTTCTCTAAGGCACGGGAGGGAGTAATGGAAGACAGTAAAGACTAACAGGTAATATGCAAGAATTGACCAACTGTAAAAGTAAATGTCGAGTAATTCCAAAGGCACGTAGAAGTTCTCTCCTATAACAGTAAAGAGAAGACTGAAATAGATCAGAGGAAAAGATAGCACCAAGATAATTGGTATTCGTATTTGAAATTTCCCTTACAGGCTAATTGACAATATCTCAATATATCGTATTTCAGTTTAAATGATTAATGACATTTGTTAGAAATTTATTTCAAAACAGCAAGATATAGTCTTTTACCATACAAAAACGAAAGAGCAAGATCCTCAAGTGCAACACATAGAACACCAATCCAATCACACTTAATGGAGAAGCTCTGAAAAGTGTGGAAACTCTCAATGATCTGGGCAGCATCATCGGTGAACGTGAGAGATTTAATGCAGGCGTAAAGGCGAAGGTTGGCAAAGAAAGGGCCCCATTCTTACAATCGAATAACATATGGAACTCAAAACAAATGTCAACCAATATCAAAGACAGAATCTTCAATATGAACGTCAAGACAGTTCTCCTATACGGAGCTGAAACGTGGAGAACTACCACAACCATTATCAATAATGTACAAGTATCAATTAACAATTGGCTATGCATGATACTGACTGTTCGTTGGCCGGATATCATTAGTGACAACCTACTGTGGGAGAGAACAAACTAACTTCCAGCTGTATTGGAAATTAGAAAAAGACGTTGGAAGTGCATAGGACATAGATTACAGAAATCATCAAACTGCATCACTAGGCAAGCACTAATTTGGAATCTTCGAGGGAAACGGAAAAGAGGAAAGCCTAAGAACACACTACGTCGGAAATTCAAAGCATACATGAAAAGAATGAATTGCAACTAGGATGGTTTCTCTAGGACAGAGCTGAATTGAGAGTGCTGGTGAGTGGCCTATGCTCATCCATAAGGGGTATAGGCTTAAGTAAGTAAGATATAATCTTATGAAAAGCTTATTATCGTGTCAACTATAATCCTGCAAATCTATTCTATTTAGATTAGGATTCATAACTGTTGTGGATGCAGAGGAATAGACCAACAATTATCATGTTAAGTCCAATGGTGTCCTTGGACTTTAGATGAACATTTCCTATTGGTCGATATCTGTTCACTTGTTGAATATTGTACAAAATGTTGTTTTCTATTTTTATGGTACGATGTGGTATGCTTGATTGGTATATAAACAAAGTATGTTTGAAATATAGTGATTCATATCTCCGAGGCTGTGACTTGTGTTTTGGACTCAACTAACTGGGCTAGACAGGGAAGTGGGACCAATCGAGACTCTAGGCCGTCCGTACGTGTTTACGTGTCACTGTAATCGATCGATAACACAGGGTAGAAATCGACAGCAACCTAAAGTCATAACAATAACATTGTGATTAAAGCTTGTTTTAATAAAATCAGTTCAAACTATAAACAATATATGTTATACTTAAACGATATAATAGATTAATGCTTCTTATAAATGTTTTGTTTTAACAATTCTAGGATTGGTGTCATTCTCAATTATATTTGGTATAATACTTGGTCAAATGGGTGATCGTGCTGTAACTATGGTACAATTCTTCTCTGTTCTTAATGAAGTTGTCATGAGAATGGTACAAGTTATTATGTTGTAAGTAAACTTTACTTGTGATAATATAAAACTGTATGTATATAATTATCAAATCAATGATTATTGAAAGAGAAATTGGTAAATCATTGAATAATAATCATTATTTCACAGATTGAAATCATGAGTCAGTTGAAGCTAAACCACCATCGGCTCGGTGGTCTAGTGATTAAGTGCTCGCGCGCGAAACCGGTAGGTCCTGGGTTCGAGCCCCGCGTGGTGCGGGATCGTGAATGCGCACTGCTGAGGAGTCCCATGCTAGGACGAAACGGCCGTCCAATGCTCCCAGGTTTTCAATGGTGGTCTAGCTTCAATTGACTCATGATTTCAATCTGTGAAATTTCTAAAATCTCCACAAAACCCATTGTGATAATAATCATTATCATGTTTTTAATCTTCAGTGATAATCATAGAGTTCTGTTGATCGTGTTGTAGTGTTGTGACAGGTATAAGTGATTCACAGTCATTTACATTGTGTTTAGACTTTAGATTGTTAGGTCAAATTACTACCAGTTGATAGGTCTTGGTCTGGCCGAAACCTAGATGAAGGTATTCCTTTCCCTTACCTCTAACCATATGACAATATGGGAAATTAGTTTCATAATTAAATATCTACTCAATACAAAGTTGAATAAAGTTCAATCGGAACTATGATAGTTTTTATTAATGAGAGATAAGAAATGGATGTGAGACTGAACATGACATAAATTCAGAGAATAAAGTATCGCTTAAAATGCTTATTTTTCTACTGATGTAATGCAAATGTTAATACTAGTTGTGAAATATGTTTTATAGGACATTATTTATGCATTTACAGTTGAGTAATTACTGGGTGGTGATCAATGTCATGTATGTCAGGTCCTTCTTAGTGCAGATCGAATCCTATCGACCAAGTCGCAATATGGTCACCAGTCTAGGTGACTTGACATTGCGTACACTATGTTGAGATAAGATTGTGGTTGGAGTTAGTCAACAAGAAACCCTGGACCTAGGTTTCGTGTTATTTGGCACATGTCAGCAAGGTGTAACTGTAATCTTCAGGGAGACGTTACCACTGAGCTATCCGGGCCATGACTGACCTCGTTTAGGACTGATATATATTTACAATTGATTTATCACTGGGTAGTGATCAATGTTATGTATGTCAGGTTCTTCTTAGTGTAGATCGAATGCTGTCAACCAAGTATTTGTGCACATCAGTGATTAGATGAAGGCAAGCAGAATAACTAATTAGTGGTTGGTAAATAAAGTAGTCTTCATCGTCAATTATATTTTAATTGATTAATGCGTATCAAATACCAATGTATTTCGTAATGACAATAAACAGTCATACCATTTTATAATATCAGCGTTTTGTCAATACAGAAATTTGTATTCAAAGTGAACGCTCTGTGGAAAACATCCAGTTTTGCACAAATGTTAGACTTTTTCTTCATACAGATATCTAATCACTTATGAATATTGTGAACCTGCTAAGTATTACTTTACTTCGTATTTGATGATTAAGTTCAGGAGATGACATTTTAAAGTTTACCCTTTCAATTTATCAAATATTCATCGGACAGTCAATCATATTTTAAGAAAATATGAAAGATACGCTGATATTGAAATGTTTAGAGATTTCGAATTTATTAATCTTTGGTAAAATCTGTCTGTACTGGGGCTTAGTTTTATTAATTAGTCACCTTGATAACCGCTATTATATAAATCCCAACGGTGTTTAAATTCAGAAGGCAATAAGAAGAGGCGACTATAGTTTATTAGCGGATGATAACACAGGTAATAAAATTACAATTGCATCCGGTGAATACAGAGGCGAATTCATAGTCAAATCGAATCAAGGCGCAGTTAAGCAAGGTAACGGCTATTAATAGGATTCGAGCGCATATATACATGGTAAAGAGAATGGTTGATCGAGTAATATTTAAACGATCAATAGTCAGTCAGTCAGTAACAATCTAGAACTTCGTACGTACGTACATCAGTTCGAGTTGCCATACCACATTAGCACAGGGATGCAGTTGTCGACTCAAATCCCATAGTGGTAGAGGTGGTAAGAGTATAAGCAGTAATCGAGAAGATGAGGGTTTGAATATGTTTTTCAAGGAGTATAATCCAGTGAAATAAATTTGGAAAAAGAAAAAAAGGGACATGAAGAATTCAGAAGATTAGAATTAGGGAGAACACAAAGAGTGGATGCACCTCCGTTATTGCAAACGATTTTGAACCATGTCATTCAAGGTCTCTAACCATCGGTTGCTATCAATTCGCGGTCCCCAACCAGGTAGTCTACACCTACCAACATGGTTCAGTCCAATTGTCAGTGACTTCATCAAATTTTGTCATGTTTTGGTCTGGCCACCCCCAACTTTCTTCCAAGTCACTCCTATATCCCTGAATATCGCACGTCGTAACAGTCGGTGGTTGGGCATGCGTAACACGTGTCCCAGCCATCTCAACTGATGAAGTTTCACTACGTCATCGATTGATTTGCCATCCTTACCAAGTACCCGTTTCTCAACAACTGCGTTACTTGCTCGATGGTCCCAGGATATAGGAGCAATGTTTCGAAGACACCTATGATCAAATACTAGTAACCTACGAATATCCTCTACTCTTACCGGCCACATTTCACTGACATAAAGTAGGACAGAACGAACTGATGCGCAGTAAACACGTCCTTTGTTTGGTAGACGGATATCTCGCCTACGCCATAAATGACGCAAGTTGGGAAGGGCTAGTCGAGCCTTCTGTATGCACGCTGAGATTTTGTCACACACCAGACCACAAGGGCTGATGAGACTTCCCAGGAAAGTGAAGCGGTCGACATGCTCAACTACTTCACTCCCTATCATTAGTTCGGGTGTCGATGCAACTCAATCCTGAAGCAACATTTTGCATTTCGAGGGGGAGAATCGCATGGTGAACATGCTTGCATTGTTGCTTAGAGTGGTCAGAAGACTCTGAATTTTGTCAGCGTCTTCACTAAATAGAACTGTCATCTGCGTATTCTAAGTCAACAAGTGAATCTCCCGGTAGAAGTTCAACCTCTGGAAATTCGGATAAGGAAAGTGTTATCTATATAAGTATGTCTACGATAAAGTTAAACAAGAATGGAGAGAGTGGACAGCCCTGACGAACACCACTTGAGGTAATCAATTCTGATGACAGTTTGTCATAAGCTCTCACTCTACCAGTTGTGTTCGATTAGAGAGCTTTTACAAGGTTAATATACTTCTTTGGTACTCCTTTCAGTGATAAACACTGCCATAGCGATCAACTCTTAAACTAAAAAGTGGTATGTGCGTAGCTATCACATGTGATCAAGTTTACAAGTTTATACAGACATGATAATGATTACAATGATATAAAGAAATAGATGAATTGTGACTATCCAAATAACATTATCAAAGGACTTGACAAAGATTGACCATGATCGAAATACATCGTAGGAGAGTTACTATGGTTATAATCAAATGATACGCCTACCTTGACTATTACAATGTAAGTTAATTTCCATAATTCCAATGTGTTTATTGTTCTTCTAAATCCTTTATTGTTCTTTTGTAATAATTTATCTCTTATTTATTTATTTATTCCATTTCAGATATTCACCATTTGGTATATTCTTTCTAATATTAAGTAAAATGTTAGAAATTGAAAATTTAAGTGATACAGCAAAAGCATTAGGTTTATATATGATAACTGTAGTTACTGGTTTGGCTATACATTTACTTGGTACATTAGCATTACTCTATTATTCGGTAACAAGAAAAAATCCATTCACATTCTATAAAGGTTTATTTCAAGTGAGTAACTATGACATTGTTCCAATATGAATAATAATCACATATTTTTTTTCTTAAAAAAAAATAATCATTGATTCACAATAATAAGTAAAGATGAATAATGACTAACAGTAGAATACAAGAGGCGTGTTTCGTCCTAGTTGGGACACATCAGTTGAATTGAGATCTCAATATGTTTTGTGAAAAGTGACAATTTTGAATAAGATTATAGTTTTGTTCATTTATATATTGAAATTGGTAACAAGCATTAGCTACTTATTCATAGTTTATTTCAATTCAAGTTCACTTCATATGATAAGTCTTGGTTAGTTTAAAAAAATTGAACATGTACATATATTTTCTGTTCAAATGAATTTCTTGTCTGAAATTGAGTACTGATAACTAAACTGAGATGAATTTAACAGTACATTGTAGGTAACTGCAGATGAATCAAATAGATATCGAAGTTCATTTCAAACTTAAGTCATCATTCATATGATGATTTATTAAAGCTCATTATAGATCATCCTTTCATATAGGTAGCTCAACATTTCGTCATGCTGTACTTCGCATTGATTTAATGCCCTGGTACGATCGAGGGTGAGGAAAGTCAGCTTACCCTTTACAAATGCTCTCACATGGACACGCGTATACAGCCACTACCAGGGGAGTCCTACTCACTGCCTTCTCGTAGTGGGGGGTTTTGTTTACGAAATTGAGAGGACGAAAAGCGAATGTTCGGGATTATAATTTATTTAGACCTATGCGTTTAGTTTTAATAATCATTTAATTTAGTTGTAAAATCGTTAACATTACTGATTATTTCCTGACTTAAAAATGTTTATATCTCTATGCTCAACTATGTTATCATTTTTATCAGAATTGCGGTTCGCGGTGATTAAAGTAACATTAATACCTGAATTCATGAGTCGACTAAAGCTCGGTTTTCTAAAAGTTCAGAGGTAACGTGAAATACCGAAGGTCCTGTGTTCAAGTTCCATATTCGGAATCGTGGATGCGCACTGTTGTAGAGTCCTATATTAGAACGAAATGCCCATCCAATGCTTCCAGGTTTTCAATAGTGATCTAGCTTAAATGGACTCATGAATTCAACTATTAAAATCATCCTAAATTAAAAACACGAAGTTCAGCGAAAAGATCTCTTTTCAACGAACTTATTATCAAGCTGTACAATCGTATATAAATGAAAATCTTTTGTTAAAGTACTAATTCCCCTATTAAATGTGAACATAAATAACCAAGATGATGTAATAGAAAGATTATAATACTAGACTACGTAATACGAGTAATAACAATGGATTTAGATTTAGTGAATGCAACGACGGAAGAAATCAGGTTGGCCATCAGACAAATCAAGAGCAGGGAAGCAGCAGGACCAGAAAATATACCAGCTGAAGAACTGAAGTTAGACAATGAAGCATTGAATATAATGGATAGCTCAGAATCGATCAAAAGATTTGGACTTCTCAGATAACCTGGCCCTCCTGTCCCATACACACGAACAAATACAGATGAAGACAACTAGTGTAGCAGCAGCCTCTGCAAAAACAGGCCTTAACATACACAAGAGCAAAATCAAGGTCCGCCAATACAACACGGAGAACATCAACCCAATCACTCTTGATGACGAAACTCTGGAAGATATGAAACCCTTCATGTACCTGAGAAGCATCATCAATGAGCAAGGAAGATCACATGCAGACGTAAAGGCGAAGATTATCAAAGCAAGGGTCTCATTCCTACAATTGAAGAGCATTTGCAACTCAAAACAACTGTTAACCAATATCAAAGTCACAATCTTGAATACGAACGCCAAGACTACTGTACGGAGCTGAAACTTGGAGAACTACCACAACCAACATCAAGAATGTACAAGTAATTATAAATAGTTGTCTACTCAAGATACTCAACATCCATTGGCCGGATGCTATCAGTATTTATGAATAAAATAATGGGAATATAAAACACAAGTAAAGGGGAATGCAGCAATAACAATAATAATAATAATTAAAACCAAGGTAACGATAAAGATAGGACATATTCCTTTTGTACGCATAGTTCTACTTTGAGCTCATGGATGGTAAGAGCTTCGGTTATTTTTAGGAGTTGGATACTAATAAATCTAGGTAGATTTGAACGAATCATATAAACAACCTTAAAATCAAACTATGGATCCGTAATATGATTACAGTCGATTAGCTGTTCAAGCATAGAACTCGTAACTGCTTTCCTCTCACCTTTGAAGAACCAAACTGGGACGTATCCCCGTATTCGAATCTAAAACTATTGTTAGTATTCGTATTACCTAATCTAGTGTTATAATCTTTCTATTATATCATCTTGGTTATTCATTTTCACATTTCTTCAAGGAACTAGTACTTTAACTTTATATATACGATTGTACAGCTTCTTTGAAAAGAGATCCCTTCGTTGAACTTCATATTTATTAAAATCATGTTATCATTCGTTCATTCTCCCTACAACACTCAAATTTCATCGACAAATAAATCCTTCATTAAATTTACAAAAAAATAATTATTTTTTTTGTTTTGCTTTGGATAAGATTAGAAAATAGATTATGAAAATTGGTTATTCGCTTTTCAGTTTACCATGGTAGAAAAAAAGATTAACCTCACACGCAATCACACACACACACATATATATATATAAATGTACACATGCACACACAAGGAAGGAGCAAGATATAATTTATATTCATAGTGGATACGTTTTAATCTAATCCAATTGTATGTAAATAAATCAAGTAAGATAAAGACCTAACCCCCCTCCATCTTAACAACAACAACAACAAGAAAAAATACAATTTATACCCTCTCAAAAGAGATTTTAATGTGAACAGTAAAATGAAGTGGTTGATTTACTTGAACTAGAATAGAAGAAGAATTAAAACAACTAACTAAACTTTATCGTAGAATTAAAAAAGAAAAGAAAAGAAAAAAATGATGTAAGTTAGTTCATTTTAGGAGGGGGTGGAGTGGCGTGGGGTGGGGTGGGGTAAATGAATCGGTTGTTAATCATAAATAGACCTTAGATATTGTTATCTAATTTTTTTTGGTTTAGATACTAATCTTATCTCTTCTTTTACACTTAAGTGAAAATATAGATTTCCTTTTTTTGTCGATTGTACAGTTTCTTTTTCTTTTCCTTCTCTCTTTTAAATGAAGGTAGTTTTAATAAGATCTAATGTAAATTATTATCAAGTTAATAGATTGAAACGAATAAGTGAAATGTATATAAATTTTTCTCTGATAGTATAAATGAGTGATCAAGTACTTGTTGTTAGGGTATTAAGTGATTTTTTTTCGTACACATTCTTTTATTTAAAGAAAACAACAACTAATGAACTCGTATACGAAAGAGTATTTCACGGTTCTTTCCAACAAAGTGTTAAGTGTATCAGTGAAAACATTAAATTAAGTCAATAATGAATGTCAAGTTACGATGAATATATTAGAATATGACTTACTTACATACGCTTGTTACTCTTAATGGAGCATAAGCCACCGACCAGTATTCTCCAACCCACTCTGTTCTGGGCTTTCCTTTACTTTACTACAACTATGGTGTATGCTACTTAAATCGACAGGCATAAGTAATATATAACACTGGTCAGAGATTGAAGGCCTGAAAGAAGAAGATTGAGAAGATAGCATTGAAGAAAACAGAAAGATATTTTGAATTAAAAGATTTATGAAGGACAAAAAGGACAATTAATGGAAGATTTTCAAATGAAGTATTTTATGTATGGTTTCCATATTTTAAGAAAGAAGTTTGCAATTTTGTATTAGACAATAAATTGGTTAACTCCACAACATCTTCGCTCACTACGCTACCAAACAGGACAACAATGAGAGAGACAAAAGGCAACTGATTCTAACTTATATTAATATTCACAGAATGTTAACTGTAACGCAGTAGAAATAAATTAACACATGCAAGTATGCGGTTGTGGGAAGTGTTGAGTTCCATTGAATTCATGAATAGATGGATGTTAGATAGCCATTGAAAACTTGGAAGCATTGGACGATCATTTCGTTCTCCTATGGGACTCCTCAGATATTTTCATTCACGATTTCACACATAGGAATCTAACCTAGGATCTTCATTTTCTAATAAACAAGCATCCTGGATTCCATTGCTAGCCACTATCCATCATTGCTTGAAAAGCTTATGTCTTCCATAGTTCATCTTTAAACAGCAGATAAGTGAACAGTGAATCCTATCTGTTAGTTTTCGTTCATTTATCAAAATTAATGCTTAAATGAATGATTCATAATGCAATATATATTGTACTTCCTATCATGATATCTAATACAGAAAAACTCAAAAGGGGACACCATAGGGGTTTGTGTATTCTTCTCTTTGTCTGTTTTTTTTTGTTTAGAGAAACAACAGGCACCTAATTTAAAATATATACATCTTACTTATTATATATGAAACAGAATCGTACTGACATAATTGACCATATAGCTTATTGCTGGAGATGAATGATCGTTAATCTCTTTTATATACATAGCATGTTTCACTACTATGACTATTATCAATAATACTGAATTGTATTATTTCCCTCTATCTTTTTTTTCACTCTGTTTATACAACCTAAAAAAGGCTTGGATTACAGCACTTGGAACTGCATCCAGTGCAGCTACCCTACCAATTACATTTCGTTGTTTAGAACAAAATCTAGGCATTGATAAACGTGTAACACGTTTTGTTCTACCTATTGGTGCAACAATCAATATGGATGGAACTGCACTTTATGAAGCTGTTGCATCAATTTTTATTGCACAAATTAATGGAAAATATTTGACAATTATTGAAGTATTTATTGTAAGGTAAGTCCCAAAAACAAACAAAGGAAACAATAGAGAATGATTATAATTAGATCAAGTATAATTAGAATTTGAACCTTTATTCGATTATGCAATAACAAACTACTTGATTTGAGTCCAAATTATATGAGGATAATAAACGTAGAGTGTGGGACCCTTATCTGAATCTATTTGGATCGTACGAATGATTGATATTGAGATATTTATATCGTCAATCCTCGTTGACTTAATTAGCGTTAGTGAATAATGGTGTTAAAATAAATCAAATATGAGGAAGGATCATTGATCCAGGCAGACGATCAAAGGAACGAAATGAAATGATGTGCGATGAAGAAGGCATGTGAACCATCTACATTTAATCAAGCGGTAATTCATATTTATAGCCAGATAAAAATAAGTTACAGATATGTGATGAATAGAATATGAAGTGTACACATACATACGCTCATATAAAAACAGTCAGGGGTTGACAAGATTATAGGTAACAGGGTCAAAACGTGAATCAAAAAGAATGGATAAATTATCCTATCCAGAAACTAGAATAACTTATGTGGGCTTAACATAGTAACCGACACCACAAGAGCATTGGAATTAGTCGAGTATAGCATTTTACAAGGAAGATATTTTGAAGCATGAAGTAAACAATTAATTATCTAAAGATGAAGGTGACACTACCCAACTATACGAATTACTGTAGAAATTTGGATGTATATATTTACAACACAACGATTGACAGTCAATTGAGGTCATCATTAGGCTGTTGTTGTATAATATCAGACGTAATTATTTCGTTTCACATTATAGATTACTGTAGAACATTTTTCAGTAAACACTATGCGAATCCCATTCTTTTTTAAGTGTGAACTCTAACGAAACAGACATTTTCGAAAGTCATTTATTTCATCCTGGAACTATTTCTTCTCAGTTCTGTACACCATTACTATTACAGTGGCGGGGGGGGGAGACAGTTGAATGTAATTGAATATAAAATTACAGAACATCTTAGTAAAATCTGAGAACTACGTCATTTGTCTCAGACTTCATTGTTCTTTCAATTCTACAACAGTCATCATTTGTTCTTGTTCTCTTTTCTTTGATCTTCTTAACCTTATACCTCCAGGCATTTCACTTTCAATTGATGATATGTACTACTTATAACTGTCGAGATCAGTAGAACACACTACACTATTACTAGTGAATATAACATAGAAATGAACTTTCCGAGTCAAAATATTTAACATTTTAACTAATATAAGTACTGTCAGCTAGATTATAAGATATGTAAAGTAAAATTTTGAATTAATCATAAATTTATAGTGGAATTCATAAGATTTCTAACAAAAGTATAAAAATTCAGTCACTTTTCGGCTCTCACAAGATCATTGCAGTGAAATGTGTAATCTATGTGCTCAAAAACGTTTAGCCTCGACTGTATTCGGTTGCGGAAAAAAGATCTGGCCAGATCCTAATGAAACTGCAAACATTCGAAATGCTAACTCGCGTAAAATGATACGAAAGTTGTTTAAAGATAACTTGCTTATTCGCAAACCTGTGACAGTCCATTCTCGTTCTCGATGCAGACAAAACCTGATTGCATGTAGAAAAGGTCGTCACTCGGGAACAGGTAAAGTGATTAAGTATAGGTGAATAGTGCGTTACCTCATTAACAGGTTTCACTAAAAATAGTCACACTAAGTATTATTGGGAAGTGGGAGTTCTCAAATCATTGAAAGGTTGACATCAATGCTAATCTAATTCATGCACAAAAGAATGATTAAAAATGAAAACGACTACACATTTTTCATGGCTAGGTCCTATGTACATGCTACTCGATAGTCATATATGAGGACGAAAGAAATGTATAATCCTTCCGGGTTACCAATGGTTTTCAATTCATGATGTAAACATCTTCGAAATATTCATCAACTCGTGATCTTACCTTCCATTCAAATATCTATGTACAACTAACAACAGATTTTGCGTACTAAAAAACAAAATGAAATATAAGTAAAAATTAGTAATTATTTATTCAATGATAAGCTAGTTTTATATTCATCATTGTTTCAAAATAGCTGTGACCAGTCGAGTCCAATCTGTTTGGGGTGTAGACAGTTATCCACCTCAGATAGTGAATACAGGGTTGCGCAAAATCGTAGATCGATTGAAATTATACATTGACATCGTTGGATACCGACGCAGTGGTCTACAAGTTATGTGTACGCGAGTGATACCAAAGGCTCTGGGTTCGAATCCAATATGTGGTTCGCATATGCTCACTGATGAGGGTTCCAGTGCTTCCAGGTTTTCGATGGTAGTCTAGCTTAGATCAACTCATGAATTCAACTATTAAAAACGTGTGTATTCGTTCGCTTTGTTTTTTTTTCTGTTCACCATTCCAATCTTACTTATTTTAACATCATTTATAAACAGTAATTATCTTTTAAAAATTATATATTTCTGTTGTATACTTAACCTGTCCATCATTCTCATATTGTTTTTAACAAAAAGTACTTCCAGGTTCCCCATGGTAGTCTAGCTTCAATTGTCTCATGAATTCATTTATTAAATCACTACAATCTCCACAAAACCCCTGTACGGTTATAATCATCATAAGCTCACTCGTGACTAGCTTCAAGAGGTGTTTCTTGGAGTCCTAGTGAGAAGTCCTAGCCATTGTAGATCAACCAAGTCTGTTGTGAGATAGTACCTCACTGAAGACAATGGTAAACGGTGGCGTAATTTCATGAATTAATTGAAGTTAAACATTACCACGGTTGGATCTCGGCCGGCTCAGTGGTCTAGTGGTTAAGCGTTTGCGCACGAGACTAATAGGTCTTGGGTTGGAATCTCACAAGACGGGGCCGTGGATGCGCTCTGCTGAAGAATCCCACACTAGGACGAAACAGCCATCTAGTCCTTTCAGGTTTTCCATAGTGGTCTAGTTTCAATTGACTCATCAATTCAATTATTAAAATAAGCAAAATAGTTAATAGAATTAAAGAAAAATAAATGATGAACAAAATGAACAACAACTCATTGTTTTATTTATTCAATTCTAATTCCCTTGATAGTTTGTTTCATATCTTCTAGTCAAATTAATTTTTTCTTAATTTGTTGATGTACCTGTCTCAGGATCATCTATTGTTAGTTTGATTATAATTAGAATCCTATTTTTGTTCTTGTTTTAATTACTGACAAGTAATAAAAGTGCTAGATAAATGTATAATTGTATTGTAATATGATTCATTTGAAAATATCTTCAGTTATAAACCATTTTAACAAACTAATGAACTAAATATGAAATAAAATGATCATATGGGGTTTTTGTAGTATTCCTGATTTTTTAGTATAGAGTTGTGGAGATTGTTAGATTGAAATTGAGATGATGAACCGATCAACGTTAGATTAGCATTGAAAATTTGAAAACACTAAACGGCCGTTTCGTTCTAATATGGGACTCCTCAGCAGTAAGCATCCATGAGAACAAAGGTTCTGTGTTTGGTTCCTAGTTGATGAGTAGTAGATACTCACTGCTAAGAAGTTTTATGATACTACGAATTGGCTGTTCGTTACGATTAGGTTTTCGATGGTTTTCAAACTCAGATCGGTTGATGATCTCAATCAGTGCTAATTATTTAAATGTTTACGAAATCAAACACCTACACATTTCTTAAATAATGAGTGCGTTTATTTGTTATTTTTCCAGTAATGGTAAGGTATTTGTCTATTATTTAAATTTATTTAAACACATAAACATTGGTACAAGGAGGCACCAAAAACATATGCACCACAAAAGTCACTTGATTTGTGTTTGGGCTGTAATACTGTCTGCATACCCAAATTGGAACAGGTGGTTTTCTGAGAGAGCCACATTCGGAGCATTAGACCTGAAGAAATAATCCACAAGGCACTGTAACAACGTCAAAACATGCAGTCACGTGGTACTCGATGACCAGTAATTGGTGTAGCCCTCTAAGAAAACCACCTGCCTCGGTTTGGGCAGCCGTGCAGTATCACAACCCACACACAAATCAAGTGACTTGTGTGGGGCATATATATTCGATGCCCCATAGTACCAATATTTATGTGTTCAAATGAATGAATGAATAAGTGATACGTTTTATCCTTAAAATCCTTGAAAATAAGTTGTAAAGAGTCAATACGCGTTTTGAATTAGTCTCAAATAATTGTATTCTACAGTGACAATCACTGTAATTCTTCACTCATTTATCAAATTAAACCTTAGTGACAATTTTTATACTATTAACAAAAGTTTTAAGTAGTATACAGTCGTTCAAGCAAAACCACCTATAACTTTGGCCAAGATCTTATTGGTTATGACTATTTCAACAAAACCATACCATTCTTTATCACTAAAAAAGCCAAATAGTTAATAACATGTAGTGCGTATTATAACTAAGGATACTATTACATCACTTGTTGTATTTATAAAAGAGACAATCCGCTTCTATGAACAGAAATAAAGTTCTAAATAAAGTCCTAAATATCAATGGGAGATCCAAACAAACAATATCAAATGAATTTAAACTTCAACACATTGCACGAGCAAGTGGCTATCAGGACTCAGTATCTAATTGGATAACGTGATGGCGTTTGGAGCGAACAGTACTGAGTTCTAGTCTCAGAGTGAACATCATCTCTCAGATGCAGGTACATCCAGTTGACGAGTCCCAGTTAGGACGGAACGCGCGTCCAGTATTCCACTGCTTTGCATAAAAATAAAGTTTGCCTAATTTTGGATGAATTTGGTTGGAAAATAAGCTTTTTCCTAACCATAAACATTGTTATCTTAATTAGTTACACATAATTTAAATATGTTTGATAAAATTGGATGTTCTAGAATCCTATCAATAGAATATGAATTATGTTCGCCATAATTTCGTATGTTCAGTTCCCTTGATAAAGTTCAAATAGAAAAAGGATAGAATATGTCTAGTATTGGAAGTCACAATATTTATTTTCTCCTGGTTCAGACTCAGTGGCTGAGTGTACATTAATCTCAGTAACGATTTTCATATGTAAATCCAACCACACTGTCTATAGCTTCAAACACTCAAATTAAGTACACATAGCCACTAGATTATGCAACGTGAATGGATTTATGTTCAATCTTACGATGGTTTTAGAATTGAAACTCAGTGAAAAGTATTAGAAATAATATGATCCAAAACCAGACTACAAGTTGAATTAAATATTGGATATGTTATCTACTAAGAGATATTATTATTTTAACCAATATATGAATATCTAATACATCAATCCACGAGTCTAGTGAAGCTAAAGCACCATGAAAAACCCGGAAGCACTGGACGGTCGTTCCGTGGTTGCAGAATACTAAAGAGTCTCATACTGGGACGAAACAGTGCTTCAAGGCTTTCCGTTGTGGTTTAGCTCCAATTGACTCATGAATTCATCTATTAAATTATTTAATTACTAAATTGGAGGAAATTTTCATCTTATGACTTAATCTCAAATAATTCTAACTAGGTGGAATAATAATATTTCGAGAACTCAATGTTATATATTTAACAATAAACTAATTTATTAATGTCTAATGACATCTTCAAGGTAAAGTTTTGTAGTTTTCATAGACAACTTACTTAGTAATTATAAGTAGACGCACTTGTAAACAAAAATAGTTCGAAGCCCGCGGGTGAGATTGCGTATGCTCACTGTTGAGGAGTCTCTTACCAGGACGAAACGACCATCCAGTGCTTCAAGGTTTCCAGTGGTGGTCTAACATTGGTTGTTTCATGATCTCAATTACATCTGGTTTTTCTAATGTATAACTTGTATGAATCAGTGCATTATATTGTGATCTATTTAATATTTGATAACTGTAATCTATTTATATATATATTACTTAATTACTACCGTTACCTATCCCACATAGAGGAGCATAAATCGCTCACCAGTATTTTCTAATCAACTCTGCTCTAGGTTATCCTTTCCAATTGCTATTGATCCTTTTCATATCTGTTTTCATTTCCCGACGCAGCATGTTCTTTGGCCTTTAATATTTACTCAAATGTATATAATCTAATTTGTTAATATTGTTTAGTGTTAGAATGGTACAATTGACTGAAGAAAAAAAATAAAACTTGGATAAATGATAACTTTTCTTCTCAGTAATGTGATTCCAAAATGTTAACCAAATAACTAAGTGACTTACAGTTAATATATACATTAGTTACAGGATACTTCTGTGATATTACTTATAAGGTAACGAGTAATGATTAATTAAGAATAATGAAGAAAGATCAGTAATCAGTTAACAATGTATCATTTAGGCTTTAAAACTTCTATTAACCTGTTTATTAAATCATTTTCTATAAATTATTTTTATCAGTTTAACAGCAACATTGGCAGCAATAGGAGCGGCGAGTGTTCCAAGCGCTGGTTTAGTTACTATGATGTTAGTGCTTACATCTGTTGGATTGCCTACAAAAGATATTTCTTTAATTTTAGCGGTTGATTGGTTACTGTAAGTTTAAAAATAAACAATAATCTACTTTATTTTATGATAATAAAATTATTTTATAGTTTTACATTAAAAATTGTCTTTAGCTAAACAACTAAAAGTCAATAGATAACATTGTGCTATTAGTAAGTTCTTTAATGGTACACAAATATAACTTCACTCGGGGTCGAACGCATGATTCTCAACCCATACAGAGAATGCATTACTCAGAAATCATCAAGTTAGTATCCAACGGAGAAAAATCCTCGATATTGTGTAACTTTTATGAATTACAGTTAGTAAAATCTATTTAATTACCAACATGCTTCACCCACCACTGTCTACTGTTTCTAAATTGATTTGAAAGAAATAATGAGAGAGTGAATCGCAACTAAGCACATAATTCATATTTGTGTAAATCTATGGGAACTATTCAATTTTACGATATACACTGTTTTCAATTAGGATTTCGAATGATTAATAGAATACTATTTCGTATCGTTATATTTTTGCAGTCCGTTTCAATTACAATGTATTTGATGATGTTTGATGATATTTACTAAGTCATAGGAAGGAAACAAGGTTGCCTGGGGAACTTCATCACTAAATGAATACGTTTATGAGCAAGTTAGCAAACTGTTGTTCAAGCTATTACTAAACATAAATGATTTGCTTAGCTTCTTCGAAATATCATACTATTTCTATTTAAATAGTTTCACTTTGGAAAAGATCTTCATTTATATTCATATAGGAAAGCAGAGCAAATCTCTCAAGCGAAAATCATAAACATCGAAGATTTCATTGATTATTGATTTAATATTAGTCTGTGAGTGTGAACTAAGTTTTTAAAGTTCACTTGGAGTTGTTTTACTTCTATCTTCCCATTGATGTTTAGGACTGCATTTGATGAGTCTCTTGTTAGTATATGTGCATTCTGTGCGAATTGTCATGATATGGCCTTAGGTCACAAGCATTATAAGCATAGATGGATAGTGGCTAGTGTTATAACTTGTAAATCTGTGTGCCCTGTTACTGTATAACGCATCGATACAGCCAATCAGAGAGCAGCGAATTATCTATCGAACCAGTGACGCATAAAACACCTGCGAGCAACCTAGAGTCCTAAGTGGTCCTGCTTCCCGGTTAGCCTAGACCAGCTAGTTAAGTCCAGAACACCAATCTCAGCCTCTGCAACATGAATCATTTATTTCAAACATACTCGGTTTATATACCAATCAAACAAACCATATCGTATCATAAAATAGGAAATAACGTTTGTACAAGAATTAGCCAGATGTGGCTGTGAATGAGGGAGGTTGTAATTAATATACTGGGTATAACTCAAGAATGGTAAAACATATAATAATACTTTATGGGTCAAAATAAAGCTTATAATAAGAGGAATATGAATATGGACAGTTTAGTTACATAACAATTATACGATAAAAATATACTCATAGTATTGGTCTATAAATGAATCCCAAAAGTTACCATTCATTATTCTTATCGGAATATAACAGCTAGCAGTGGAATCCAGGACGCGCGCCACATCGTCCTATTTAAGACTCGTCAGCCGGGTGTTCTTGCATCTCAGAGTTGATGTTCACTCTGGAACATGAACTCAGTGTTTTCAAAGGGTACAACTAATTGAAAAAAATTAGTTTATCTGAAAGAATTTCACTGTGAATAACTATGAGTAAGATTTGAAAAATCTACACATCATTCATTTCTATTAAAGTTGAATAATTTAACTTGAGTGCTCAGGTCTGGCGTCTAGGCACACAAGAGAGTCGTTTAGGTGGCCGACGGGGATTCGCTGATCGCAGGACAGATAACGGGGACCGTCTACTGCGACTGCGCACAGACCACAAACTGTTTCTGGTTAGCACTAACGTCTGGCACAGTCATCGCCGATGTGCCACCTGGCATTTTCCCTCTGCATCTCAAGCCTGGACTCAGACTGATCACATCGCGATCAGCTACCGCTGGCGTGGTTGTGTACAAGACTGTCGCTCCTTTTGGAGTACCTATCTGAACTCTGGTCATGCCCTTGTTTGCTCTAATCTTACCTTACTTTTCAGTGGACAACGAACTTTGTATGGCGTATACATATTTGGTGCCCTCTTGTACCAATATTTATGCGTTCAAAATAAATAAATAAATAAATAAATAAATAATAAAACAATTTCATGGACTGTGATGAGAACAACTGAGTCATAAAATGAACAGAATAAAAAGTCGTTAAGTTTCTCATCAATATCATTAAATATTAGTAAGTTTATAGTTTAAATATTCTTTTTCTTTTTCAGTGATCGAATTCGTACTTCAATCAATGTAATGGGTGATGCAGTTGGAGCTGGTATAGTTAATCATTTATGTTATAAAGAATTAGCTCAAAAAGATGCTGAAATTGATAAAGAAATAGATGAAGCTGTAGGAGAATATACACGTGAATTATCTAATGTAACTAATATAACAGATCGTGAAAAACGTAATTCATCTAGTATAGGTCGTCATAGTAAAAAACGTATGAGTTTAGCTGCAGCAATGCGTTTACAAGAAAATACATCACCACTTGGTACAGTTATGCCAAATCAATCAACAATAAATGAACCAGAATCACCAACATCTAAATCATATTTACCAATGAATATACATCCAAATGATAAAAATTATAATTAATTAATTCATAATTACATTTCTATTATTGAATACCTTGATAGTTTAAGTATATTACTTTATTGAAGTTCTTTATGATACTATTTCACATTTGGCTTTTCTTTTCTTCTTTCATTCTTTACCTTATTTTCATTCAATAGAATTAGACATTTTAAACTGCTCAGTAACTCCCTTTTTCTTCTTTTTTTTTAAAAAAAACAAAAAGTGAAAAAAAATACAAAAAAAGAACAAACTTACATTTTGAATTCACGTTTAAGTTTGGAACAAACATTAGTGTAGTATTATTTTATTAAGATAAAGAAACAAAACAAAACAAAATTGACCAAACTTTCAATAAAAAAAATCGATCAATTGGTTACTAGATTACATAATTAATATCAATAATTGTAAACTAATAATGATAATAATAATCAATATTGTAAACAATTTCATGATCAGTTTTTTTCCATATTCACATGAATTTATATATATATACATAATTCATATTCTCTAGAAAAGGGAATAACAATACACAATAGTAAGATGAAGTTACCAAGAGAGAAAGAGAGAGAGGGGGGGCGGAGAGATCCGTTGTTTCAAATGTTCATTGTTTATTATTTAATAGTAATTTTGGATAATATAATTATTTTCTATTCAATATTACATACAATTCATTTTCAAGAAGAAAAACAGAAAGAAAAAGAAGAAGAAAAACAAAAGAGAAAAAAAGGAAAATGAAAACAAAGAGAAATAAACCGTTTTAATTTATTTAGAATGAATGATATATTGAACTATTTATTCATTTTATTTAACAATAATCATTCATTGTACGATTGACATTTTATGTTGTATCATTGATAATGATAATTTCATGCGTATAAATAATAATAATAATAATAATATTTATTAATTTACTATGTTTCACATATATTAGCTGTTGATCACAACTCTATATGATACATACTTTATTACTTATGCCCGTTACTTGTCATAAAAGAGCATATGCTGTTCATCAGTATTCTCCGTTCAACTCTATCCTGTGAAACCCTTTTCAGTTGCTATATATTCTTTCGATGTCTGCTTCGAATCCTTGATGGAATGTGTTCTTTGATCTTCAACTTTCTCGTTTCCCTTCACAATTCAAAGTAAGTGCTTGTCTCGAGATACAGTTTGATGATTTTCTCAATGCATATCTTATCCACATCCAATATCTTTTACTAATTTCTTCTCCAACGAACATTCAGTATCTTAGATAGAAAATTGTTTAGAAATATTTGTACATATTTGATGATGGCTCTGTTAGAAAACTAACACAGCTCCGTACAATAGAACTGTCTCGACGTTCGTTATTAGAGATTCTGACTTATACTGGCTGAGTTATTTTGAGTTACATATGTTCTTCAACTGAAAAAATGACTTCCTTGCTTTGCCAATTCTTGTATTTACGTCTGTATCAGATCCGCCTTGTTAACCGATCATGCTAACCAGATAAGCGAGTGTTCCACCAACTGTGATGAATAAACTTTACATGATGGCAAAAGTATACGTGTAAATAATAGATTGTCTGTCACAGTAGATAGAAATAGATATATTTTTACATTTCATTAACTTACTAGTAGGTTGTTGATGTGTTAAACATATTTGTCAGCTAAAGATTTATATATTTGTTTTTGAGTACTAATAAAAGTGAGTAATATCAACTGTTTATTCAGCTGACGAGTCCCAAATAGAGCGAAACGCGCGTCCTGGATTCCACTGCTAACCACTATCAATCTTTGCTTTTAAAACATATAATCATTCGAATATCGTTAAATGGGCACTAAACATTAATTTTGGTTACTTCAAGTTAGACTGGTCAAATCAGGAAACGACATTACCATAATTTGCAAACAATAAAAGTAGTTGCATTCATGATAAGCTTAAAAAATCTAAACACCATTATTATAGTTTTAAATGGTTCCATCAAGATTTATGATGTGAATTGCCAACAAGCATGAAAACTAATTCCAGTATATCCTGCCGATAATCTCTAACCCTCTGACAAAGGTTTTTATTTGTTCAGAACATAAAACTATGTGAAATTGTTTAAATATACCGCACAATTTTAAATTGAACAGGAGCATTATTAATAATATTAGTCTAAACATAAGTTAGTCAGTTTTCAATAACGTAGGATCTAGTATAAATATGAGAATTCAGTTCAAATGAATTAATATTACACTGAGAGAGGAAATTAACGAAATGGAAATCAAATACAACGAATTGATTTGAAATTCAATCAAAATCTAGACATAAAAAAATAAAGAAACGGAATAACTGAAATAGAAAGTTTTACGCATAATATTCAATGACAAATGTAACCAAGCTAACATTTACGTCGGTATACTTTAAAACTCTTATACACACGATCTTTGGTTGGTTGAATATGAGTAACCTTAAGATACTTTTTCTCTCTTTAGTACACATATAAATGAGCAAATATTAGATTGTTAACGTGAGTAGGAAACCAAACTAGAAATCCTTTTCTCTAGTAATGATTATTTGAAATGATACTATGTCAAATTTATTGTTGAAATCAAATTAGCTTCGTCTTGATCTATTTGAAGTCAAATAATTTGGTTTGTACATAACTTGTTAGGTTTTCATAAAACACAAAGTAAATGCGATAGCCAAGTTATATACACACATATATAAAGACAGTTTATCAGCGTTACATAACCTCTATTAATATCAAATAAATAAAAGAATTTTTTCGTTTACATCACGGACTGATCTTAGTAAAGAACTATTGACAACGAGTAAGCACTCGACAGCTGTTTCGTCTTGATATGAGACTCTTCCAGTATTGGGAAGCCATGACTTTGCCAGAGATCGAATCCAAGAACTTCGGTCACTCTATGAGTGCCTAAACTTTAAAAAATAAATCGGCATCCAATAGTTTAAACTCTTAATTGCAATCGATTTGTGATATAGCTGCAGCCATTCTCAAATGTCACTACTAATTAATAACTATCTCAAACTCGACATGACTGAATTTCACTTGTTACGGCTTTTAATTAACTCCGACATTGACTGATTGAGGGAAAGGAAGGAGAATGGCGATTTGCAAATCTTCGTGCATTCAACAAAATGGTTATATGCGGCACTATATTACCCCACAAACGCATACACAAAGCTATACGGGTTTCCCCGGGTCACACTACAGAGAATCAGATTGATCGTAATTGCATTACTATAATATTCAGAAAGTCAATCGAAGGCGTGAGAACAAAGAAAGGAGCTGGTATAGCATCAGATCACCACTTGTTGGTCGCCGAGATGAAACTGAAGCTAAAGGAGTACTGACCAATTGCAGAAACAGCATTACAAAGTTTAATACAGCCTTCCTCAACGAATTCACGATAGATTTCAGCAAAAGATTTCAAGCCTTACAAGATCTATTCAAAGAGGAAATTTTTCTGGAGAGCAACTGGTAAGGGGTCAAACAAGCAATAACGTCAACGTGCCAGGAGCTTCTGGGAAGCAAGAAGCATCACCATATGGAATGGATCCCTATCAAAACCTTGGGCAAGATTCAAGAAAAGAAGAACGGGAAGACAATGATTAACAATAGCCGGACAAGAGCAGAGAAAGTAAAAGCAAAAGCTGAATGCACAGAAGCAAACAAGCACGTGAAAAGAAGTATTAGGGTCTACAAAAAGCACCCAGGAGTACTGGTGGAAAAAGGTGCAAGAGAAGTGTTATAACTTGTGACCGCCGATTAGTGGGCAGTGACTCATCGATCGGACCAAGGACGCGTAAAACACGTGCGAGCAGCCTAGAGTTCTGATTAGTCCTGCTTTCCGCCTAGCCCAGCCAGTTAAGTCCAGAACACCAGTCTCAGCCTCTGCAATATGAATCGTTATATTTCAAACATACTGAGTTTTTATACCAATCAAACAGACCACAACGTACCAATAAAATATGAAACAACATTTGTACAAGAATTAGCCAGAAGTGGCTTTGAATGAGGGAGGTAGTAATTAATGTACTGAGTAGAACTAAAGAATAGTAAAACGTACAATAATACTTTATGGGTCAAAATAAAGCTTATAATAAGAGGAATATGAATATGCATAGTTTAGTTACTTATTAATTATAGAATAGAAATATGCGCTTAGTATTGGTTCATAAATTGATCCCAAAAGTTACCATTCATTATTCTTATCGGGATAAGGAAATATGAAACAACTATATGACACAACGAAGAAACTGGGAGGAAAATATGGTAAACCAGAAAGATCAGTCAAGGACAAACAAGGCAAGTTAATCAATGAGATTCAAGAATATAGGAACAGGTGTGTAGAGCACTTTGAAGAACTCGATGAATAGACTAGCCCCACTGAACCCACCAGACATTGAAGCAGCACACACATACCATCCTATAGATTTCGCTTCACCAACGATCAGCATCGCCATCAGACAAATCAAGAATGGGAAAGCAGTAGGACATAACAACATAGCAACTGAATTACTGAAGTCAAACATGGAAGCAACTGCAAACAAGCTTGATCTTTTACTTAAGAAAATTAGGAAGAACAAGTGCCGATGGACTGGAAAGAATAACACCTCATCAAGGTATCAAAGAAAGGACATCTGAGCAAGTCAGAACTACACAGGCATCACACTTATGTCGGTACAAGGAATCATTTTCAACAAAGTGTTGTTGAACAGGTTGAAAGATTCAGCAGACACTCAGCTTCGAGATCGAGAAACTGAATTCCGTAACGATCGGTCGTGCACAGACCAAATCGCCACATTACGAATCATTGTTGGACAATCAATTGAGTGGAACTCGTCACTATTCATCAACTTCCTTGACCATGAGAAAGCGTTGGACAGCGTGGATAGGAGAACCTCATGGAACCTTCTTAGAAACTATGGTGTATTTGAGAAGACACTAAACGTCATACGGAATTCACACAACGGATTACGCCACAAAGCCGTGAATGGAGGACAGCTGACAGATCCATTCCAAGTGAGGA